TGAACAAGTTTTCTTCTATTCCTAATTTGCTGTAAGTTTTTATCATGAGTGAATGTTGAATTGTGTAAAATGATTTATTTTGCATCTATTGAGATAATTTTTCTCTTTTGTTCTACAAATATAATTGATTTATTGTCACATGTTAAATCAATCTTACATTCTTGGGAACTCCCTTCCCCACTTTGGTCATGATGTATTATCCTTTTAATATATTGCTGGATTCAGTTTGCTAATATGTTGTTATGGATTTTTGCATCATTGTTCATGAAAGATTTTGGTGTGTAGTTTTTTTCTTGACGTGACATTATAATAGCATAAGGGTTATGCTGACTTCACAAAATGGGAGCGCTGATGAGACTCTGGCATCTCCTTAGGCTTTACAGCCCAGTCGTGAGCTTTCTCACCCGTGAGAAATACCTATCTACTTCACAGTCCAGCTGCCAAGTTTTGGGGGGCTGGAAATCTCTCTTTTTCTCCCCAGTCCCACTCTAGCTTTCTGTGCCTTGATTATCTCTCTCTGCCCTGCAGCCTTACCCCATCCTTTGGAGTAGGGCTGCAGAGCTGTCCATGATAAGTGTCTTGGGGAGATTAGTCTCAACACTTTATTGCCCTGCCGCAGTCTTTAGCAGGTCATTGTCTTATACTTGGAGAAGGCCCTGGCTGCCTCAGGGGTCCTCTCTTAGCTCTCTTACTTTACCCTCAGCCTTTGGTATACTACCCCCAATGCATTGGTAAAGGCCCATGGGAAAGGATTGACAGGTAGTGCTGACTCACTCTGTGGCTGAAGTTCTCTGGATTCTAACCTGTCATGCCATCGCTAGTCATCCTTGGCTTCTCCTTGTCAGTCACACTGCCTTATTTTTCCACCAATCTGCCACAAATGAAAGTAGCTGTGGGTCTCTTCTTTTCTGGAAAAGATTCCTCATTTTCTGGAATTTAGTTCATTTACGTTTCTTCACATCCTAAACTCTTAATAAGGTTTTTTTTTTTTAATGATTTTGTAGCTTATTTGGCTTGGTATCATTGTTAAGGTAGAAGAGATAGTCTCTTGTGATTTTTTACATCATAAATGTGTCTCTGGCACATTTTTGAAGTGCCTTTTTGAGGCAGAATCATCTACATTGATTAAATACAAATGGCAAAGGAGATGCTCTAAAATTTCTCACTGGGAGATTGGCTGGATGGTGTCACCATTAACTGAAATAGGCAATCCAGAAATATGGTAGATCTTAGGGATATTAGTTCATTTGTAGACATTGAGTTTGTGGGAGGCAGTATAGCTAGTGGTTAAGAGTACAGGTTCTGTAGTCAGATGACCTGGTTTCAGAGCCTGGCTCCACCACTTACTATCTATCTGTATGATCTTCAGCAAATTATACAACCTCTCTGTGTCTCGGTTTCCTTACCTGAAAAAAATAATAGTATCTCCCTTGCTGGATTGTCATAGGGATTAAATCTGATAATTGATTCACATGATGTCCTTAGAACAGTGCCTGGCATGTAGTGAGCACTCAGTAAATGTTAGTTATTTCTAGCCAGGTGGAGATGTACATCAGGTAGCTGGGGATATATGGGTAGAGATGATAGTCATAACCATAGAAATGAACGTAATTGCCTAGGAGGCATGTAAAACCAATCTTTTGGGTTTGGGTTCTCAACCAGGGCTGCAGATCAGAAGCACTTAAGGAAAGTTTTCAAAATACATGCTTGTGTTCTCCACTCCACTTCCCAAAGGAAGAGATTCTGTAGTGTTTAAGCTCCCCAAGTGATTCTGATGTACATCCCTAGGGGAAAACCATTCATAAGGAGTAAAAAAGCAACCCTAGCAGAGGTCCCATGACCCCATGAGCAATTCCAGCATTTCAGAAGTGGGCAAAGGAGAATGAGATGGAATAGATGGATTAGAAAGGGGGTGCCCAAAGGAAAGCACAAATGGTGTGTGTGTCTGTCTCAACTTCAAGCCTGATCTGGTATAGTTACTGGATGAGGCAGGTGTTGGATCACCCCAGGTGTCAGCTCAGCCATAACTCTGTATATACACCTGGACTTGTGTGCCTTTGATGTCTGAGGGTTTTATAGAGAGCTCAAAACTGAGAGACCGAGGAAGAAGTTTCCAGAAGAATGGGGAAGAAGATAGCCAGATGGCACCAGATTGTCCAGAGTTAGGAAGGCAGAGAATGGATAGAGCCCCACACTATTTTGCAAAATCATCTTTACTTGAAATCAGGGCCAGCAGCATGAGGCCAGTCCATGTATGCACATGGCTTGATGTCCTGAATTTTCCCCACTCTCTTCATTCTCTAGATACCTGGTTCATTATCAAAACCTATAGAAACAAGAGAAGGTCCCAGTTAATGGACTGTCAGTGCTGAGGCCTGGCAAACCAGGTAACACCTGAGGGGCCCAGGACAATGAAAAGAGCTTTTGTTCTCTCAACAGCAACGCATATTTAATGAGCCTGTGCCAGACACACAGCTCAGAGATACAAGATGGGTATGACGGGAGCAGGTGGGGGACACCTTCTTGCCAAGAAACTGACACTTCCTTGTCCTCCAACTGCAGGGGAACGGCAAATCCCCACAGTTGGTGCCTGGGGGAGGAAGCAGAGAGAACAGAGAACGCAGAGAACGAACACATGCCTGACCAGGTTAGCCCCATGCTCTCAAAGAGCCAAGGGAAGTGGTCCCAGCTCAAGGAGATGCCTTTCTTGTGTGTCTCTTTCAGATCAAGGACTGAACCGGGAGGTTTCCCTGGGTGGGGCTCTCCACACTCAGCAACTGAATCTCAACATCCCAATAACCACGGCATGATACCTCCATTCCTAATAGTTTTGGTCAAGGATCTCCAGTGTCAGAATCAGCTTCCCAGCAGAATTGAAACCTTTGTGGTGATACCCAGAAGATTTGTGTTTCTAACAAGCTCCCAGGTGACTTGGTGACTAAGCATAGCACCCAGCCTAGGTCCCTCACATTATAAGGGAAGGGAGAGGATCTTAGCATGCTAAGAAGTCAGCACACCAGACTCTTCCAAAGCAGCAGAATGAGGTTTCTCTCTCCCTCGAGCCCATCGAATACCGTATGTATTCTTCCCTTCGGGCACCTACCCAACTCCACTTTGTCCCTGCCACAGATCCCAAGGGGGTGGGGAACAGAAGCAGAGCACTGATGTCAGACAGACTTGGGCTTCAAACCTAGTTCTGAACATAACTGCTCTATAAACTGAGGAAATTATTTCAATTCTTTGAATTTCATTTTACATATGGATAATAATCTCTATTTCAAAGAGTTTTGTAAGGATTATATGATAATGCATAGCAAGCACATACCACAGTGCCTGATACAAAGCAACCAAAAAACCCATACCCATTACAGTTGAGTCGATTCCGACTCATAGCGACCCTATAGGACAGAGTAGAACTGCCCCATAGAGTTTCCAAGAAGCGGCTGGTGGATTCGATTTACCAGTCTTTTTGTTAGCAGCTGAGCTCTTAACCATTGCACCACCATACAAAGCAAACACCCAATAAATGTTAGCTGATTCTACTATATTGATTAACAGACTATTAACTCCCAGAGGGCAGAGAACATACCTTTTGTTTCCCCTGCCAGACTGACCTACAACGGGCACTCCATAAATGTTGGTGGAGTTGAAGAAGGAAGTTAAGTCAGTTGGTGCTAAATGAAACCAGAGATTTATGTAAATATAAAATCCATAAATATATAACCATAAGAAAGGAATTGGGTGGAGCAGCCCTTCCTCCACTTCCACATTCCCCACACCCATTTTCTCCCCTCCACCTTCCCTATCTTTGTGTCTGATTTCTTCCTCCTTCAAGGTTATCCTTTATTTTTATGTAGTTAGAATAATAATAAAAGCTAATGATTACTGAGCCCTAGCCATGTACCAGGCAATGTTCTCTCAGTGAATCCTCACAACAACCCCAGGCAGCAGGCACCATCATGATCCCCATTTTAAGATAAGTAAACTAAGGAATAAAGAAGTTAGGTGATTTACCTCGAGTCACAAAACGAACATGGTGGAACCAGGGCAGGAAGCCAGGCAGACTTTATGCTCCAGATGCCTGAGTGTGTGTGTGTTTGTGTACCATGTGTGTGGCGTGGTATGGGTAGTGTGTTTGTAGTGTGCTATGTGTGTAGTATGGTTAAGCACTCAACTACTAGCTGAAAGGTTGGGGGTTCGAACTTACCCAGAGGTGCCTCAGAAGACAGGCCTGGCAACCTGATGCCAAAAGGTCCCAGCTTTCAGAACTCTATGGAGCAGCTCTACTGTCCATACACAGGGTCACCATGGGTTGGAATCAGCTCTGTGGCAACTAACGACATGTGTGTAGTACCTTTGTGTTGTGCTGTATTGTGTGTGTAGTGTGTGTGTGGTGTCGTGTGTGTAATGTATTTGTGGTGTGTTGATTTATGTGTGTGCAGTGTTTGTGGTGGTGACGTATGCAGTATATTTGTGGTGTGGAGTGTTTGTGGTATCTATGTGTTTGTGGTGGTAGTAGTGTGTGTAGTGTGGTGTGTGTGTGTGTGTGTGTAGCGGGGATCAATGGAAGAGAATGTGAAATGTTTGTTCCCGCCCCATCGCTGAGGCCCCTACAGAGTTACCAATCTTCCCCCGCTGCAGGCCTTGCTAACATGAAGATATCCATTCCTGACAGCCCTCAGGGGAGGGGGAGAAAGCAGCAAGGAGGTCAAAGCAGGAGCATGAGTGAGAAGCAATTGAATTGACCTCTTCTGTCCCAGGCCTTTCCTCATTCAGTTCTGTCCTTGGTCCTTGTATGCACGAAGCTCTCAACACTCCACTGAGAGTGTCTGCCAAGTCCAGTGCCTGTGCTCCCTGGAAAACGCCCTCAGTACCTGTAGGTGTCCCCTGACCATCCTGAGCCAAGCGTGCTGAGGGGCTTCTTGTCCAGAGGATGAAGCTCCACAAGCCGTGTGCTGTTGATGAAAACAGGGCTTCACGGCCCAGCAGGCTGGCTGGTCTCATCCTTTGAGCAAATCTGCTCCCACGGCTTCCTGGCTTTGTTGCCCCAGCTGGTGTGCCTCAGATCCAGGGTAGAGAGCATCTGCCTGGAGAGGGTGCTGGTCCTTAATAGCAGGTGGGGCTTGGCTCTGCAGGCCCTCGTCATGGCCACCCTTGGAAGCTTCCAGAAAGCAGTGTGGTGGGCTCTACAGGGCCAAGAGGATCCTCTTGTATTCCCTGAGGAAGTTCTGGTTCAGGAGCCCATAAACGATGGCATTAAGGCAGCTGTTGAAATAAGCCAAGAAGTAGCTGGCGTCAAAGAGGCCCCTGGGATCTGGGAATTCGTTTCCTCTGGGTTGATGGCAACAGTGAGGCCAATGCAGTTCAGCAGGGCGCAGCAGATGGCGAAGATCACAAACACTGCGAACATAGTGAAAAAGCTCCGGACGTTGCTTGCTCTCCAACTTGGCCTTCCTGTGGGTCTGGAGCACCAGCATCCAGATGAGCAAGTAACAGAAGGACACCACAGTGATGGGGAGGAGGAAGTGGACGACCACCACAGCCACAGTGTACTGGGCACTCGCTGCCTGGATGAAGGTGCAGGAGTAGATACGTGGGTCATATTCCAGCGACGCCACAAAGAAGTTGGGCTCCAAGGCCACGATGGTGAGGAGCCAGACCAGGCAGATACAGAGCGGCATGTGCCAGGGCTGGTATATCCAGTGGTAGGACTTGCTGTGGCAGATGTAGCAATAGCAGTTAACGGCAATGGCGGTGATGTTGAAGACAGAGCCGATGACGCTCAGGCCCATCACAAAGGCACTGGCCTTGCAGTGCGCCTCCCCCATGGAAGATGGCCACAGGGATTAGTGGGTAGGGATACAAGGCAACCACCAGGTCAGCCAACACCAGACTCACCAGGAACAAATTACCTGGGATAGGAAACAAGGAACAAGAGTCAGCATGAAACCCCAAGATTTCTATTCTATAGAATATCCCATCCTTCACTGAGTTATTTTTTGCACTGGGAGTGGAAACTGTTAGAGACACAGAGTTCAGGGTTCAAACTGCTTTTCTGCTACTTACTAGCTGCATGACTGAGGCCAAGTTACTTAGGCTCTCATTTTCTCATTTGTAAAATAGGAATAGCTATACTGCCTTGCGGAATCCATGGCTGGTATAAACGGTTAATGCACTCAGCTACTAACCAAAAGACTGGAGGTTCAAGTCCACTCAGAGATGACTCAGAGAAAAGGCCTGGCGATCTCCTTCCAAAAAGTCAGTCATTGAAAAGCCTATGGAGCACAGTTCTACTCTGACACACATGAGGTCACCATGAGTTGCGGTTGACTCGACGGCAACTGTTTTTTTTTTTCAGTGTAGCTGTGAAAATTAAATGATGATGTAAAGTGTTGGAGATACAAAGGGTGCCCAGATATGATCATTATTTTCATGATAGCCACAGATGCTCAGAGGCTTTGTATCATTTAAGCTTCAGCAAGGATTCTGGAAAAGGAGAATCTGAAAACCAGGAATGTGGATTTATCACTCCCCACCCAGACTCCTCGCATGTCTATTTGACAGTCTCCTTTTGCGTCTTCTTCCCACTGGTCAACAAGCTACTTTCTAAATGTCTTTAAGTCGTTTTTCTACATGTGAATTGCCTTTTCAGCTAGAGTAGAAAGATTTTAAGAGTGGGAACTCTGTGTTTCCAGTATCCCACTGGAGTGCCTTATCTGGAGCCTACACTCCTCCATGTCGTCATATTGCCAGACACCTGGTGTGTCCCTGCCTGGTGACAGCACAGAGTCTCAGTCCTGTGGAGGGGATAGGGGCTGTCTGTACTCCCTGTCTCTGCCTCTACGGGGCCTCCCTGCTTTGCCTGCACATTTCCAGGGTTTCTGAATTGTCTCTCCTCTGAACGGAGCTTTCTCCAGCATCATCAAGCTCAGTCAAGCAGAGAAAGCCTCAGGAAACCACAACAGCCATTGATTAACATGCTTCAGGCCAGAGTCTTAGAGAGAAGTCAGCGCTTCATCAAGAACACAGTTTCTGCTTCTCAGGATTTGCATTCTAAAATCAACACTGAAACATGAATAAAGCACCAAGAACTGGAAAGTTTGGGCAAAATGGAGCTCAGGTCACAAGCAGCTCCATCTTCATTGCCATTTGTTTCATTCACCAAGTGTACTTTTTAAGCGTCTACTGTATGCTTAAAAGATAATGATAGTACTGAAAATGCACTTAACTTAGATGCAAGAAGACCTGAGTTCAAGTCCCGGCTTTGCAAATTCTAGCTCTATGACCTGAATCTCAACTTTCTCTTCTGTAAACGGGGGGAAAACAGATTACCTAGTGAGGCTGCTATAAGGATGAAACAAGAGTTCCAAGGTCTAAACAGCCAGTGTGACTACGTGCCTGCCACAGAGTAGAAACTTGATACAGGTAGAATTTGATTGAATGTTTATAATTTTGATGCTGCTAAATAATATTAAATATTTAAAAAGTGGGGACAACAAAGAGATGCAAGGAAGGTTTTTAAATCTTCAAAAAAATAAGTATTTCCATGTGCCAGGCATTGAGCCCAACGGTAGGGATCTAAGACAAGTACAAAATGGCCCTTACCCTTAGAGAGCAGTTCATGAAGGGGAGGATAAGTCTGTAGCCACGATGAGTATTGAGTGCAGTAGGTACTACTGAAGCTTCAAGAACAGTGATAAGAAGGGGATACCTCAGAGGTCCAATCAGGGAGATACTGAAAGGTTAGGACTATGCTGGGAAGGGTGACTTGACCTAGCTCATTTTTATTCCAAAATCCCAGTACCTTATAGTCTTACTCTTACTGCTTCTATCACCATTCCTATCTGTCATGGATTGAATTATTTCCCCCAAAACATGTGCATCAATTTGGCTGAGTCATGATTCCCAGTACTGTATGACTGTGTACCATTTTGTAATCTGATGTGACTTCTTTATGTGTTGTAAACTCTATCTCTATGATGTAATAAGATGGATTAGCGGCAGTTACACAGATGAGGTCTACAAGATTGGACAGTGTCTTAAGCCAATCTCTTTTGAGATATAAAAGAGAGAAGCGAGCAGAGACACAGGGTGACCTCATACCACCAAGAAAGCAGTGCCAGGAGCAGAGCGTGTCCTTTGGACCTGAGGTTCCTGCGCCGAGATGCTCCCAGACCAAGAGAAGACTGAAACATCACAAGGACCTTCCTCCAGAGCCAACAGAGAGAGAAAGCCTTCCCTTGGAGCTGATGCCTTGAACTTGGACTTGTAGCCTACTAGACTGTGAGAGAATAAATTTCTCCTTGTTAAAGACATCCACTTGTGGTATTTCTGTTATAGCAGCACTAGATGACTAAGACACTATTCCTACCAACTAATCGTTGTTGAAAGTTCCCTATGTGCGAAGCACTGTTCTACCTCTCCTGACCTGAGGAGCTGAGGCCCTCCAGCGTGGCCTGGGGTGAATTCAGGTGGAAACTCCAGGGCCTCTCTTGCTACGATCCTGGAGCTTTCCCAGAGCAGTTGTGGCTTGGCTGCCCTCATTCTCCCATCACCCCATTCTCCCGTCGGCAGGGGTCCTCAGGGACACAGTGGGCACTGAGCACAGACTTTCTTTAGCAAGTCATCTGGCCTTCTGCCACGTGGTGAAGTACAAGCTGCCAGCTTTAGAGCAGCCAAACGCAGAGGGCAGGTGGAATAGATTCACAGGAGGAACTCCCCAAACACAAGCCAGGACAATGACACTCCACTGCCACCATGTGTCTATCCCACAGGCTACAGAGGATGATGTGACGGCCTCAGAGGTCCAAACAACCAAAACCAAACTCACTGCCGTCGAGTGGATTCTGACTCATAGCAACCCTTTAGTAGAACTGAGTAAAACTGCCCCATAAGGCTCTCAAGGAACACCTGGTGCATTGGGACTGCCGACCTTTTGGTTAGTAGCTGTAGCTCTTAACCACTACACCACCAGGGTTTCCTCAGATAACCAGGCAGATGGAAATGGGTCCAAAAGACACAGCAATCAGAGAGGCTAGACTATGGATCCAGGGAGATACGGAAAAAAGGAGGCTCAGAGCCACTCAGCTGGGAGTTCACCTGAGTCAGACCTCCAGGTGAAGTAGAGTCTGGACTTGCAGTTACTAACCCAGAAAGGTAGGCAATGGCTACCTGCTCCAGCCCCTCCCCCACCTGACACACATTCTCACCCCATTCCAAGGACAATTCCATGGAACACGTTTCACCTGGGGCTGGAAAACCCCATAGGTGGCCTTCTTGAAGTGCCTATTTGGTCCCATTTGGTCCCAGAGGCCTGGGGTCAACCCCACTCAGAACTGAAAAGAAGTCTATTAGCTCCCTGGGAGTTTTTGGTTTGAACTACACCTCAGTCCAGAACTAGGTTAGAATCAGACAGAGATAAGGTTGTGACTGAGTAGAAAGGAGAACTTCTGAACAATTAGAGCACTTGTGAGGTAGTGAGCTTCCCTGTCTTCTAAGACACTCAGATAGAGGCTGGATGGTAAAAGAGAATTCTGCCTCAGATTGAATTGCTAGATCTCTTCCTATTCTGATATTTTAGGAATAGAAGCTCTGGTGGCGCAGTGGTTAAGTGCTTGCTGCTAACCAAAAGATTGGCAATTTGAACCCACCCAGCATCTCTGCAAGAGAAAAGACCTGGCAATCTGCTTCCATAAAGATTACAACCTAGAAAACCCTATGGGACAGTTCTGTTCTGTCACATGGGATTGCTATGAGAAATTGACTTGATGGCACCTAAAAACAACAAAACAGTAACTTCACAGAATGGAAACTCCTCCTTTTCTTTCTGGTTGGTACTGCAAGGCAAGAAAGGTGCATCTGAGGACCTGGTGGGCATCTGGAGGGATCTCAGGCTCTGCTCATTTAATTCTCAGCCCTGTTCACTGTCTCCACTGGAGGTTTTCAATTGCTGATTCCCCTACTCAGGCCTCATTTGTCCCAAGAGAGCAACGGATTCCCTCATGCAAATTTCTTGGGTTCAGGTGAATCATGACCCCTGACTCTTTGTAAAACTTTATTTTGGAACTTGGAGGTGGTGCTGGGAGTTGGAGAAAAAAAGAGTTGCTGCTGAGCTGACTCTGACTCCTGGCAACTCCACATGCGTCAGAGTAGAGCTGTGCCTCTAGGGTTTTCAATGGCTGATCTTTCGGAAAAGTAGATTGTCAGACGTTTCTTCTGAAGTGGCTCAAACCTCCAACCTTTTGGTTAGCAGCTGAGAGCATTAACCGTTTGCACCTCCCAGGGACTCCAGGAGTTGGAGAGACCTGGAGTAACCTCAGTTCCACCACTGTCTAGCTGTAAGAACTTGGGCAAGTTATGGAACGTCTTTCTCCGTGACTATTCCTTCATCTTTTCCCTCCTTTTCTTTTGGAGCCCTCCCTCTCTGGACTCCACGTGGCTGTTTCTGTGAAGAAAATCATTTCTTTCCAACACAGGAATATTGGCCTCTGCAGCACCCATTGGGCTCCTGGCTGGGCCGCCAACAAGCTTTTGGCCCTTGTAAATACGTGCCGAGAAAGCCAAGCACCGCTGGGAGCCAGTGCCAGCTCAGCCAGTTGTTTCCCAGGAAAGCCGAGTCAAGCTCTGCTGTGTTAATGTGGCACATCCCCTAATAATGCCCCAGAGGCTGGCAAACAGCTTGTAAATAGTGGAAAGAACACATTCAACACCACATGGAAAGTGATTCGATTACTCTTCCCTATTACTCCAGCTGTTCCTAAAAGACTATAATCAACCAGTTCCTGCTAGAGATTCATCTGCCCAGACGTCCTACCGTTCCTCAGTTTTCTTGACAGGATGCCAAATTAGCGGAATAAAATTCTTGTTTTGTCTCCCATCTGTAGGAAGCTCGGTCCTGTCTGGATGATACTCAAGGGGAAGAAGATCCAGTTCTCTACCCATTTTTTCCCCAGAAGGGTGAGCAATCAATCACGATGCACACAGCACGGCTCCCTACCCTCTGCACTGGCTTTAATGAATATTGATGCTGAAAGTTATGACATGACTTATTTCCATCTGCCTCCATCAGACAGGGGAATTAGTGGGCAGAGGATTTGACAACAAGGTTTTGTTCACTAACATGGAATTCCCTTGCGATATTCACCTGCAGAGCACATTCCTTCACACGCACATCAACCACAATGCCCCTCCCTCCTCTCCTCCTTTCTCCTTCTTTCTGGGAAATACATTTCTTAATGAGATCTTGCCAGGGCTGAGCTACCTAGGCTTCATCGGTTAGGAGAATTCTGGAAGCTGAAAAAAAACCCATTGCCGTCAAGTCGATTCCGACTCATAGCGATCCTACAGGACAGAATAGAACTGCCCCATAGGGTTTTCAAAGAGTGGCTGGTGGATTCAAACTACTGACCTTGGTTAGCAGCCGAGCTTTTAACCACTGCGGCACCATGGCTCCCTGGAAGGTAAAGCTACCTCCATATCTGGCCCCTCTCCCTGAGCCTACCCTCCACACCCAAAAGAAGAGTTGGTTGGATTTAAATTGTTCCTGGTCATTGAGCTACAAGACACTGGAGAAACAGACATTCGCTGAGTTATTTACTCAACAAATACTACTGAATACCTATTGTGTGCCTTCTCTGACAATGGGACTTAGGGGCTTAGGGAAGTATGGTGAGCAAGAGACACGTTCTCTGCCCTCACAAGGTTTATGGACTCATAGAAGAGACAATTAAACAAATAA